ATGTGTATCTGGGTTAGCGAAGTCCAGATTTATTTAACTAGTGTTTTAGCAATGTGTACCTGGTGCCAACCTTTAGATGTATCTAACTAATGACCTAAACTAGCTATGTGTGCCTGAGCCAATACGGCTCAAGCTTGGTAAATGGTAAATGGACTGCATTTATATAGCGCTTTCACAGACCCAATGGCCACCAAAGCGCTTTACATATTGCCTCACATTCACCCATTCACTCACTCATTTATACACCGACGGCGGTGTCAGCCATGCAAGGCGCCATCCAGCTCGTCGGGAGGAGCTGGGGTTAGGTGTCTTGCTCATGGACACCTCGACACTTGGTCAGGTGGAACCGGGGATTGAACCACCTATCTAGGGTTTACAAAGAATGGTGTGAAAAGGGAAAAACATCCAGTATGCGGCAGTCCTGTGGGCGAAAATGCCTTGTTGATTCTAGAAGTCAGAGGAGAATGGGCCAACTGATTCAAGCTGATAGAAGAGCAACTTTGACTGAAATAACCATTCGTTACAACCGAGGTATGCAGCAAAGCATTTGTAAAGCCACAACACGCACAACCTTGAGGCGGATGGGCTACAACAGCAGAAGACCCCACCGGGTACCATTCATCTCCACTACAAATAGGAAAAAGAGGCTACAATTTGCAAGAGCTCACCAAAATTGGACAGTTGAAAACTGGAAAAATGTTGCCTGGTCTGATGAGTCTCGATTTCTGTTGAGACATTCAGATGGTAGAGTCAGAATTTGGCGTAAACAGAATGAGAACATGGATCCATCATGCCTTGTTACCACTGTGCAGGCTGCTGGTGGTGGTGTAATGGTGTGGGGGATGTTTTCTTGGCACACTTTAGGCCCCTTAGTGCCAATTGGGCATCGTTTAAATGCCACGGCCTACCTGAGCATTGTTTCTGACCATGTCCATCTCTTTATGGCCTCCATGTACCCATCCTCTGATGGCTACTTCCAGCAGGATAATGCACCATGTCACAAAGCTCGAATCATTTCAAATTGGTTTCTTGAACATGACAATGAGTTCACTGTACTAAAATGGCCACCAAAGTCACCAGATCTCAACCCAATAGAGCATCTTTGGGATGTGGTGGAACAGTAGCTTCGTGCCCTGGATGTGCATCCCACAAATCTCCATCAACTGCATGATGCTATCCTATCAATATGGGCCAACATTTCTAAAGAATGCTTTCAGCACCTTGTTGAATCAATGCCACGTAGAATTAAGGCAGTTCTGAAGGTGAAAGGGGGTCAACCACAGTATTAGTATGGTGTTCCTAATAATCCTTTAGGTGAGTGTATATGTGCGAACATGTATATCTATTTCACTTTAACGTGTTCTCATGTCAGCAATGCTTAGTCGCTGTATGCTCACAGCAACTACATAGACCGCTTGCTGCTGTTGTATAAACACAAGCTGCTTAAATGTTCAGTAATTCACTCCTGCGTCAAAGTCAGGACTGTTAAACATGATGCATGATTTTAAAATATTTGTATGTGGTTGCTCATTTAGGAATTAAAAGCAGACCATGCAATAATGCATAGTGATATTGGTCACTGGCTGCGTATTTCAAGAGTTTCATGACAGAACTGTGTATTTAGTTAAATGTGTAAAGTGGAATATTGAAATAAAGTGTTACCTGTATATATATATATATATATATATATATATGTGTGTGTGTGTGTGTGTGTGGCAAGCAGTGCAGGGGAAACGGTGCAAGGCCGGTGGTGCGAGTGCTACTGCACTGCTAGAGTCCCACGGAGGAGCTCCGGAAGGATAAAAGGAGGAGTGACGACAGTGAAGGATGGGAGAGAGGACCAGACCTGGGACATTTATGTTGTGTTTTATTATATTTATATGCAGCAGTCGTCCGTGAGGGTTATTTTGTTATTTTTTATATTGTGTGATTAAAGTTTTATGTTGAATGTTTGCTGGTTCCCGCCTCCTTCTTCCCTGAACTTGAACCTTTGTTACATTGGTGCTGAAACCCAGGAGGAAGGAGAAAAACACGCTAAAAAAGAGCCCTCCCCATTGTGGGAAATCCGCGATGCCATCGAGCAGAGCTGTGCAGAGTCTACCGCAATGAATGCTCGAGGCGGTGGGCTGGAGTAACTAGCCGGTGGGACGGATCAACTCGCTGCCGTCTGCCTGGGTTGTGGATGGCCGGCTGCCATCTGAGAGCTGAGAGGGGACGGAGGAGTTGCTGCCGTTTGCCTGAGGCCGTCCACCATGATGGGGAGGTGCAGGGAACGAGGGGCTCACTGCTGGGTGACCGAAGCTGGAGGAGCTGTCGCCGTACACCAGGGGGTGGAGGAGTCAGAGGGCCGTCCACCGAGGGGTATCCAGCGACACTGGCAGGCATCACATGACTTTTTTCCTTTTTGCTCTCTCCCCTCTCTCGCCTCTATCCCTCCTCATACTTCCGTCTCATTTTCTCTCGCCTAATCTATCTTTACCCCCAGATGTTTTGGCTGCTGTGATGGATTAGAGTGCAGTCTCGGTGCTGCCCCCCGGCCCGTGAAGGGCAATGGGTGTATGTGTTAAGCAGGGCGGGGGCAAGAGCCGTGGGAATGGAGCGAGCACTCGTGCCATCTAAAGTCCCAGGTAGGAGCTCCGGAATGATAAGAGGAGGAGTGACAGTGAAGGATGAGAGAGGACCAGGCCTGGATTCTATGTTGTTGTTTTATGCTTATATATGGCAATCGTCCATGGGGGGCTGCCGCTTGACTTTGGTTTTGTTGTTTGGTTATTTTTGGATTAAATGTTTATATCGAACTTACTCCGCCGGTTCCCACCTCCTTCTTCCCTTATCAACGAACCTTGTTACAATATATCTAAGACTTTACTTTGATAGTCCACTTTAGGCACATATATGATTTGTTAAAATTGCATTGGCACAACAAGCTTTCTCTGCTATAGAGTGTAATCTACACGTGACACATGAGCAGTGTTTCTCTCTGTGTGCTTGTTATCTTAACTATGCTTAAGTGTTGACAAGTAACATAATCTTGTGTCTGAGCTCTGAGAGGAGACTCAAGGGTCAAAAAGTTATAGAATTCTGCGACATATCACTTTCAAAACAATCCGGTTTGTTAATTGCCAAGGCAACATGGGCAAACCAATGGATACGCAGAACCAGGAAGTAGCTCTGCCCACAACTTCCTTGTTAAAGCTGAACTTACAGTTCAGAAATCTGTTCCCATCCCTGATAACAGACACACACACACACTCCACCACAACACAAACAGCTTTACACACATACTGTATGAGTACCTTTTAAACCTGTAGCTCCCTCCAGTAGTCAACACGAAGCACGAGGTCTTGTTTAAAAAATGGGGTTTTATTTATCCAACATATCATGTCAACCCGTGAGAACTGGGTGGAAAAAGAGCAAACAATAAAAGGATACTATAAATAAATGGCATGTATGTATGTCTTGAATTCAGATTGTGCCGCTACACACTAGTTAACACAAGCTATGCACATGAAATATATCACAGAAAACCGGATACAAAAGAGACAGAGCTCGTGCTTCGTGTTGACTACTGGAGGGAGCTACAGTGAGAACTCGTAGGCTGCTTTCTACTTAAGAGGGGCTAAAAATTAGTCTTCTTCCTTGTCTTCTTTCTCCTCAGATAATATACGTCCAGATATGTTTATATTCTTAATATTTACTTAGTTTGGAGAGCTCTTGCCATGCTATGTTTTTAGCGCTTCACTTCAGGTGTTGTGCCCTTTTTAATTACATGCGGAACACAGGATTGGCGCTAATTAGTTCTGCCTCTACGATCTCCTATTATTTTCAGGTAGGAACCAAAAACAGTAACAAACTTAACTAAAAAAATGTGAGGCAGTTACAAACACAAACACACTTTCACAGACTCCATCAATTTCCTTGTCATCATTTTCACCACAAACAAAAGTTATATTTAAATCTACAGTATATATAATTTCCGGGTGCAGAAAAGCTCCAACGCCCCTCTGTGGTTACCTGATAAACTGCATAGCAGACCAAATTCAATACAATTCTACAATGTTAGTCCTTTGATTTTGAAACACATACAAACAAATATTTGTAATTCTCAGTTTTAGATGACATTCTGATCAACCATACAAAGACAGAGCGTTATGGTGTGCAAAAAGAATGGATGAAAAAATACAAAACAATATACTGTATCAGGGTGTGTGCAAGGCGTGTGGCATTGCCCACTAACAGCTGATGTTACAGGAGCTCCAAAGATTTGAGGCATGCCACACAGCAAACCTCTCCCTGCACAGCTGCTCTGCGGTGTGATACTGACACAATCCTTTTGGGAGATTCTGCTGAGTAAGGTAAACCTTCTCACTGCGTCACTCTCACACACATACTCTAGTAACTTAGTGAAATTTACTAGGGAGTTGTCCACATTCAACAAAAGTATACTTCTATATTGTTCTCCTTCACATTGAACAATTATGCCAATCAGTTCATCAATGAACTGTGTTTAACGACAGTATTGAAAAAATAATAAATACTTAAAATGCAGAGTGAAATAAGTAGAATGAGAAAACTCAAAAAGCAGAAACTAAAATCAGGTTCCACTTCCTTATTGATGAAATCACACCCATGGTCATGTGTCTTCCTTATAAAATGAAAAGCACAATCAACATAGACCAAACATAATGATACATAACGAACATAATGCACTTAGATATATAGATAAGTAGATAGATAAATAGGCAACTAGATAGACACAAATGGCACAGTACAGTTTATTCGGACCAACTGTACTTCTAAACTGATTGAATCAAACTGAGAAGAAACTGAGAGTAGTGAGTGTCACAACTGTGCCAGATCACCAACTGACAAACCTGCACAAAGTGTAAAATTACAAAAACAGTACTTTCTATACATCTCTCTAAAGACAAAATAAAAGTAAAGGGTGAATTTCAAAAAGATTTACCAACATTCTGAAAGAGCAAGAAAGATTTACTTACCAGCAATTCTGTCTCGCTCCATAGCTGGATTATGGTTCCTAACAGCCACATGTGGTTTCTAGTGTTTCTCCTCCTCTCCCTTTATTTGCAGACTTCCCCTTTTGGTTTTTCCGAGAGTTTAGTCATTCTCTCTCTCTCTCTCTCTCTCTCTCTCTCTCTCTCTCTCTCTCTCTCTCTCTCTCTCTCTCTCTCTCTCTCTCTCTCTCTCTCTCTCTCTCTCTGTCCACTCACTTTGTTCTTTCTTTCTTTCTTTCACTCTTCATTTCTTTTTCTTTCTTTCTTTGAAATATTTTCTTTCTTTCTTTCTTTCTTTCTTTCTTTCTTTCTTTCTTTCTTTCTTTCTTTCTTTCTTTCTTTCTTTCTTTCTTTCTTTCTTTCCTCTATTTTCCTTCCCCAATACAGATCTTAAAATAGTTCAAAGTGTTTAATTGACAAGTGCTTCCAATGGAACTGCACTGACATGTGCTGATCATATGGCTTCATTCGATCTTCTTTTGTCTTTCTTTTGACCTCCTTTGACACTGAAGCCTTATTGTGTCTCTGAGATGGGTATAAGCCATGTGACTGTATAAACAGCCTCATGCTCTCACCATGAAAGCAAACAAGAGAAGTCTGATTTTGATACAGCTGAAGCAACATGAATTTACTATTTCATTACATTATTGAAATGATGCAACTATCTGTACCCTATTTTTGTTAGCATAAAGGCTTTTTAAAAATGTATTGGCCATCACATACTGCATTTAGGAGTGTTGTTCTATGGCTGTGCAGATAGCCTGTTTGTAATTGAGTCATTAATCTGGTCTTGTTTTTTAAGAACAGCATTAAATAAAAATGAGTTTTTAAGGCTTTCAGTGACAATGAACACAGTGAAATCCTTGCAGTGAAAGCAGTGGCATTCAGCAGCTGCCCATAATCTACATGTAAATACTTTAAAAAAAAATATATATATATATATTTATTTATTATTTTGTTGAGCACCCAACCCTGAACATATTTGTGCGTGCTTTTACTCAAAACAAAATCATGATGACCTATGACCTAAACCTCACACATCTAAGATCAAATCTAGCGTGGCATTCTGATTAGTGTATGTGCAAGATATTAGGATACAAGACCTCCTCTCCATTTCCAAAGGATAAAAACGGCCTCATATCACTCTACCATACTGATGATTATTCCTTCTGGGTCACTGATGACGCAGATGAAATAAGCCTATAATAATCTGGTTCTAGAAATAATTGGCTTTTTTAGGAAATACAGTATTTCTTTTGCTCGAACATGCTGTTGATATAAATCTTCTGACAGGGTAAAAGACACGCCTGCAATCTAAATATCAGTGGTTATACTGCTAACGGTTTATTTTTAAATAATACTTTACATAAAAGTAAGGTTTCAAAATGGACTGAAAACCAATTGAACTCTTTGAACCCTCACATATTGAAGGAAAAAGCAGAGTGTGCAGCTATGAAGGAAAGACTTCAGATAAGAAAGGAATTTTTAAAGGGGTGTAAGACTTTAGCCAGCAATACTTCCTCCAACCACTTGGTCCGGCCAGGTAACACACTGTACCATTCCCATTTCAGTTGAAATAGGCTCTCATCAAGAATCACTGTCTTTTCTTATTATTGACACACCCGAGTTCCCAGTTATCCTCTGTTACCCTTGGCTAGTTTCTCACAATCCTCAGATTGACAGGCCAACTAGCCGTTTCACCAGATGGAAATATACATGTCCAACGGGTGGAATTCTAACATCTCCTAAGTCTTGTTTGGGGCCTAAACGACAACTTTGGATCTAGCATGAGTCAAATACGCCAAAAACTAAGACCGTTCCATACATTCGTAAGGCACTAGAGAATGGATTTATTCTGCCTTCCACTTCACCGGCAGGGGTTGGCTTCTTTTTTGTGGGTAAGAAGGACAGAGGTCTTCGCCCATGCATTGACAATCGTGGCCTAAAGTACATAATATTGAAGAATCGATATCCACTGCCACTTATGGCCACAGCCTTCAAACTCATCCAGGGCACTACTATCTTCACTAAGTTGGATCTCCAGAACGCATACCACCCAGTGAGTATCCGGGAGGGGTAAAAAATGGCTTTCAACACCCCTACTGGGCATTACGAGTATCAGGTGATGCCCTTCGAGCTAGCTAATGCCCCAGCAGTCTTCCAAGCACTTATCACAGATGTCCTGAGAGAGATGTGTGTTTGTATATCTCGATGATATCTTAATATTTTCCCAGAGTTACGAAGACCACGTTCAACATGTTGGCATGGTTCTGTCTTGTCTGCTCTTGAACAACCTCTTCGTCAAGCTAGAAAAAAGTGAGTTCCACATCACTACAGTATCTTTCTTGGGTTTCATCCTTTCATGTGGCAGTGTACAGTTGGATCCCAGCAAGGTTTGTGCAGTCCTGAAGTGGCCCCACTCTGATTCATTGAAACAAGTCCAACGTTTCCTGGGTTTCACCAACTTTTATAGGAGATTCATTCGATGCTTCAGTTCCATTGTGTAACCTCTCACAGCTCTCACCAGGAAGTCACCAGAGAAAGCTAACCAGGTATTCAAACGACTCAAACAGCTATTTACTTCAAATCCCATATTGTAAAATATGGGAGCCCTCCTTCAAGGTAAACTACATCCCCACTCTATCCTGAGACGACCCTGGTCCCACATATCCATGGATTTTGTTAATGGCCTACCCAATTCTCAAGGTAACACAATGATTATTGTAGGCCAGCAGGCAAGACGGCGGAACTTCTCATGCAACAAGTCTTTATAATTCATGGGTTTCCTCGGGATATGGTGTCTGATCAGTGTTCCCAGTTTACCTCAAGATTCTGGAAGGCTTCCGGATGTCTAATCGGTTCCACCATCAGCTTGTCCTCAGGGTTCCATCCCCAATCCAATGGCCAGACAGGGAGAGTGATCCAGGAGATTGAGAAGACCCTCAGGTGTCTAATCTGTTAATTTGCTAGTTGGTCTGGGTGGAATTTGCCCATAACACTCTCCATCACTCATCATTGGGTATGTCTCCATTTGAATGCCAGTTTAGGTTCCCCCCTCTCTTTTTTCTGAACAGGACCTACAAGCACAGGTTCCAGCAGTGGCCCAGTTAGTCCGGAGGTGCCGGGGGGTTTGGCGGAGAGCTCGGGCAGCCCTGTTAAAGTTGTCTCGAAACAACAGAAACAGGCCATTTGACGTTGGCAGATATGTCCATCACTCCGTCCTAGGCAGAGTGTGGCTTTCGACTCAGAATCTTCCATTGCGCCTCGAGTCACAGAAACAAGGTTCTTTTGCCTGCAAATCCTCCTCCCAGTTGCCAGGGGGCAACCATTGGCAAGAACTCTCAGTTGTACTTAGCAATCATTATTGATGATACTCACCTGTGTAGGGCCCTTTTTAAGCTTGCCTTTAGTCATTGTTTTTTGTTCAGTCTTGAGCCTACCTACCTGTGTATCCCTTTGCATTCCGTGAGTCTATTGTGAGGCATTGTGTATGTTTTGTTTTCCTTTTTGTGACTATTGGAAGCTTTGCTTCTAGTTTATGTGTTTATACTTTGTTTTTGGACCTTCTAAAAATAAAAGCGACTTGGAGTTTATACTGCGCATCCCCTTTTGTTATTCCTCCGCACAAGGGTCTCAAAATCCTCAACCTTGAGTTTCCTCACTCAGGGAGAACACCAGCTCTGTGTCCAGGAGAACGGGATTCTAGTCCCACTAAAGACAACATTCAATATCTTAGTCTATATACTGGCAGTTCCTGCTTCTGTATCATTACAAGGGGTTACAGCAGAGTTTAAGGGTATTTTCACACTGGCAGTTTTGTTCGGAACAGGGCACGGTTCACATGTGAAAGCTGTCAAGCGGATTTGGGAGTGCACAGAGGTACCGAAATCAAGACTATCTGAAGGAGGTGGTCTGAGTTTGGTTGCATTCGAACTGTGCCGCGATTCGTGTGAATGTGACTCGGGTGCACGCTTGTTCAGGAAGTAAAGTAGCCTACGCATGCGTTTTAGCAGATTACGATGTATTTAGTTCAATAAACCACATATAAGGGATGATAGTGATGATGATTTACCCTGGATACGAATGCGTGTGAGGCTGCAGTGTATTCGCACATAGCAATCAGGGCAACAAATTAATGGCAATCCACTGTCAGAGTCCGTTTGCAAGCTGTAAAAAAAGATGCTTTCATACGACACACAAACAGTAAACTCAAGTATTGTTTACTCTGCTGCGCATAATTGCATCATATTAATAAAAAATCAATATATTGACTCTCGTTCCGTGCATGTTTGTGATGACGTAAGATGCATGCAAATGCACTACGGTTCGATAGAGTCAAGATGAGTGTGAAACCAGACCAACGCTCCAGGAACAATCGCACTCGGATTCGGACAGCAGTAAATGTACCCAGTGTAAAAATGCCCTAAATTAGGGGGTGCGCTTCATTAAAAAACATTTGGCAAAATCCCAGCAGTGCAGATATTTGTTCAAAGACCATAAAGCAGTTAAAACAGAATGTAACAAAAAAAAACCATGCAGGTAATAGCAATATAATTCCTAGTTATATTTGTACTAAATAATAAAGGAAAAGGCATAAAAAAGAAAATATGTACTTATTTATTTTGTATAAAAATACATTTGAATTATTATTAATGATTTTAAATCAATAATATTGTGCATAAGATCATATTTTAATCTTTTATTTTTTAAACAATTCACAATAGAAATTAATCTTAAATTCTAAAACCCATATTCTTAAAATACCATGGCAACTATACAAATATTGTATAAGTATTATTTGATGAGGAATATTCGGTAACGCTTCCTTTTACAGTCCTGTTACCCATGTACTTACTATGTACTTATTATAGTAATTATAATTACTGGGTAATAACTAGGTACTAACCCTGAACCTACCCCTAAACCTACCCCTAACCCATGTACTTACCATATATTAGCCAGTACTTTCTAGGTAAGTACACTGTAAGTACACGTAAGTACAGTACTTATGTGTACTTACAGTGTACTTACCTAGAAAGTACTGGTATGCTTAAAATATTAACTGTATGCTTAAAATATTGTGGAGAGCACTTTTGAGAAGACATTAAATTGTCAGAAAAT